ACTCGGCTCCTTCGGCTTCCAAGGTGGATTTGGATGGTCAAATTGCTCTGACGGGCTGACGTCAGGATGCTCATTGGCTTCAACCTTTATGGTTAATGGAGCAACGTCTTCTTCTTCTTCCACCGTTGGGGGCGAGCCGGCAGAATGCTTGGATCGTTTGGCACCGGTGGCGTCATTTTTGGGACTGGGGAACGAGCGCCTGGAGAGGGAGGGTTGGCTGTACATTGTCGCCCTTCGAGGCCGGATTTCAACACCGCCGAGCCCATCAAGGTTGGATCGTCGAAAACGATTGCGTGAGCTGACGCTCATAGAAGAGGTGCGACGTAAAGCGAACTTGGAGTTCATTAATTCGCTGTAGTTTCGAACACTAGCCGGATCGACGCCTGCGAGTAACTGACGCAGGAGGGTGTTGGAGGCGGAATTCGCGCCGGAGGTTGGTGAGAGGGGACAGTCCTCGTTAAGCATTACTTCCCGACGTTCACCAATTCGGCAGGGCGAGGTTATCACGTCGCCGGGGAGAGTACACATCCGATTTTAATCGCAAATGCAAGTAGGTACTATTATGTTGTGGGAGCAGGGGAAGTGAGTGAAAGAAGATGATGGACAGACCGCAGTGATGGGAACAGACGACATGCGAGCAGCGCCCTCAAGAACAAAATGACAACACCAGTAGCAACAACGGTCGCGACCTCCAAACCGCTAAGGGCAGCAGACACCTGTGTTTTGCGCGTGTTCTTTTGTACTCCTGTGTCTCGCCTTGCGCTGAGCGTGCGCTATGCCGTGTGTGTGTGTGTATGTGCACATACACTTGGCTGAACACGCGCGCGCATGAAGGTAGTGGGACAGACAGGCGCACGTGCGTGCGTGCGTGCGTGCGTTCGTTCGTTCGCTCGCTCGCGCGTACGCAGGCGAACGCGAGCATGGAGCGCGTGTACGACGCACGCCGCACGATGACGTTTAATCCCTGGCCAAGGTCGTTTGGCGAAGGCTGCGCCTGTCTGGTGGAAGCGACGCCTTCGCTGCGGCCTCTCCATCCTGAAGACAGCCTCCGACAGACATCTCTCGTAGTCACATACGCCCGCACAGACATCTGGGCGTGATAAATATTCGACATCGGGAAGAAGAAACGGCTCCAACGCATGTCGCGTTTCTAACCTCGCAGACGGCCACGAACTCTGACACAATTTTCGCACAAGATTTTGCCGGAAAGGTTTCACGGCGATCTCACCGGAGTATGCTGTCGTTGCCAAGATCGGAAGACGATAGAGAAAAAGGATCGCGACGCTCACGTTTTCACCTTTGCTCCCAGAACTATTCGGCCGTTGAACTCAGAGGGAACAACGCTGATTTTAAAGAAATCGCCGATCCTGTAGCGCTGGGTCGAGCACAGTGGGTGCTTCCTCAGCCCTAACGCCCAGTCTGTGTAGACGCCATCAGTGGAATCCCTCAAGTGCAAAACGACGATAATTTTGACCGGCAGTTTTCCCAGCGGGCAGTACTCCAGATATCCCATGGGAAAGCCGTGGGTACGAACTGAACTTCAACAGAGATCTCCAACTACGGCAACTCTCATTTTATGGATTAAGTAACTTCGCTGTCCCAGGCGATGTGGATACAAATGTCAAATTTCTGAGGGCTTCAGGAATGCAGTTATTGTGAACGTCTAAAAACGACAGGGAACCCAGGCGGGCCGGCAGTACTCACTGAGGCATCCTTAGCTTCATCATTTTTGGTTAAATCCCCAACTATGGTCTTTCCATTCGTCTGAATTTGCACACGAGACGAAAGATATTGAAGAGCTGTACAATACAGATTCGGTGACTAAGAAGCGACAATGATTGGATATGCGAATCCACTGAAAAATAAACCCCAGTGACGCCCCTGATACGGAAAGATGTCAGTATTCGTTTTCTCGGTAGGGCAGATGAGCGGGGCAATTAACGGAATCTGTGGAAGTCGTTGAGAAAACTCGCGTTGCTGTCAAATGTTTTTTTAACCCAATGTAGTACCGGAACTGACTGTGCAATTAGAAAGATGCAAGTTAGGCGCATTTAAGCGGGCGGAAAACAGTTAATTCAAGTTTATTTGGTTAAAGTCGATGAGCGACAGACAAAATAGGACCAAATATTTGACCTTATCCCAAACTCGGACTGGAATTTATTCATCTTCTTAAGCTTGGCTTAAAACGTAACTAATACATTATGTCCGCCCAAATCACATGAGCGATCGTGTTGCAGTAATAAAAACTAAGGCCTGCACATTCTGTCGTCACCACGGAAAAACTGCCAAGAAATTAGCACCAGCCTCTGCACAACTGCGTTGGTCGCACAATGGACCTTCACACTTGTATCAATAGGATTTCGGCGAATAATTTCAAGGTTAGAGTGTAGCGCACAGTCCACGCAGGCAGTTGGACAATGCGCGAAAGCATGCTTAAATGAGCCACGGATGATAGATCAGCACCGGAAGACTTCGTGGTAGGATTTGATTATGTAGCCGTACCTGATGGACACAATTCTGTTAGGCGTTAGGAGTTAAGGCAACTATTTATCAACCATTCATAGTTCAGCCGCGCATTTCCGATAGCTTTTCTTTGGCATTTAATTGCATGAACTCGTCGCCTGTGCTTTCCCCGGTCCCACCTGTAAAAACCCCTAATACCACTGGGCTTTTTTTTACTTCAGGTGGAGCTACATAACTACATCTGACCATCTTTGCTCTATTTGAAGCCGCATTTCAGAAGTTTCGTTAATTCTTCATGAAATAATAGATCTACTCCATTAGCGTAGGGGTGTCAGCGTTGGGTTCACGTGATGATCGTGGTGGTCGCTCACTTGCTTGCAGGTGAGACTACGCCTAGCGTTCACTTGCTGGCACTCAACTCTCAACTGTGGCTCCACGTAGCTGGGCTTTGCTCAGCGGCCACACCCCTGGCAACCGTCTCGACCGGCAGGCTAAACCAGGTGAGGGGGCCCTGTGCGCTGTGCCGTGTGCACAGGGTTTGCGGATTCCGCTGGATGGAAGGTCGGATGGAACCTTGCGGCGGCACCGTTCTGACGTGGTTGGTCCCTGCACGCCACTGGACAGCCGGTGACGGGATGGATCTCCACATCGACATCGCCTTGGCGCGCCCACCTACGCCGTCGGAGACCGCGGATTACGGCGAATTCGAGTCGCTCTCCACTGCAACCCGAAGTCGGGGTCCGATAGTGGAGTTCGGCCGTGTCACCACGGCACATGGCAGCCCTATTCAGGGATGGCACTGCCAGCCCCCACGAGGGGAAGGGCCTAGAAAAGGTGGCCTAAACATTGCTGGGTACCACGCCGTCTCCAGCCTAGCCGGGGCCGCAGACGTATAATCATGGTCGAAACACTCAAAATCGAAACAACAACAACAATACCAATAACAACAACCACACTCATTCTCCTCATCCCACCTCTTCTACCTCTTCATCTGCCTATTCTTCTGCCTATTCTTCTCCTTCGCCATTTTCTTCTCCATCTCCTTCCCGTCGCCCCACTCGTTGTCACCAGACTGGCAGGGTGAGCCCGCTCACTCTGGCAGCCTGGGATGTTCGTTCCCTTTTAGACAATCCGAGGAGCAACCGACCGGAACGAAGGACGGCGCTAGTGGCACGAGAACTGGTGCGCTACAAGGTGGACATCGCCGCACTCAGCGAGACCCGATTCTCCGAACAAGGCCAACTGGAGGAGGTGGGTGCCGGTTACACCTTCTTCTGGAGTGGTCGACCCAAGGCAGAGCGACGAGACGCGGGTGTCGCCTTTGCCATCCGGACCGACATCGTGGGACGACTGCCCTGTCTGCCGCAGCGAATCAACGACCGCCTAATGAGCCTCCGTCTGCCCCTCCGGCGAGGAGGCAAGTTCGCCACCATCATCAGCGCCTACGCTCCGCCGATGACCAGCCCCGACGCCGTCAAAGACAAATTCTACGAGGACCTGCATGCCCTCTTGGCGACTGTGTCGAAGGCGGACAAGTTGATTGTCCTTGGTGACTTCAACGCCCGCGTCGACACAGACCATACAGCCTGGAGAGGGGTGCTGGGTCACCACGGTCGCCGCGGCTCAAACGACAATGGTCTGCTGCTGCTCCGCACCTGCGCAGAACACCGCCTCATCCTGACGAACACGTTCTTCTGTCTGCCGGAGCGAGAGAAGGCCACCTGGAGGCATCCTCGGTCACGCCAGTGGCACCTGATGGACTATGTCCTCGTCCGGAGGCGAGATCAGCGGGACGTGCTAGTGGCAAAGGCGATCGCGGGTGCTGGCGGGTGGACCTACCATCGCCTCGTCATCTCGAAGATGCGTATTCGTCTACAGCCTCGCAGGAGACCACAAGGTAAGCGACCCCCAGGTAAGCTGAATCTTGCCTTATTGTCTTTGCCGCTCACCATCTTCATTTCAGCAATGAGCTAGCTCAACGGCTCGACAACCTTCCTATCGCTGCCGACAACGCCGCTGCCGAGAACGCCTCCGTGGAGAACCGCTGGTGTCAACTGCGAGACACGGGCCGGGCGACGGCGCTCGCCGTCCTCGGTCGCGCTCCCCGCCAACATCAGGACTGGTTCGACGACAACGACGACGTCATCAGAAATCTGATTGCCGAGACGAACCGCCAACACAAAGCCTACGTAGATCACCCCACTGATGCCACCAAAGCTGCCTTTTTCCGCAGTCGCCACCAACTTCAGCAACGACTGCGCGAGATGCAGGACGCCTGGACTGCTCGCAAAGCTGAGGAGTTTCAAGGGTACGTGGACCGCAACGAATGGAAGAACTTCTTCTCTGCGATCAAAATTGTCTACGGTCCGCCGACGAAGGGCACTGCTCCTCTTTTCAGCGCCGACGGCAACACTCTCCTGACTGAGAAGACGCAAATCCTGCTGCGATGGGCGTCCTCAACCGCCCCTCCGTCATCCCCGACGCCGCCATCGAGCGTTTGCCGCAAGTGGAAACCAACGTGGACCTCAACCTCCCGCCATCTCTCCAGGGGACCATCAGGGCCGTGCAGCAGCTCTCCAGCGAGAAAGCACCCGGATCGGACGCGATCCCTGCTGAGGTCTACAAGCACGGAGGTCCCCTACTGATGGATCACCTGACTGCGCTCTTCCAAGAGATGAGGCGTCAAGGTGAAGTCCTGCAAGATTTCAAAGACGCGACCATCGTGCATCTCTACAAGCGCAAAGGGAATCGCCAAGTCTGCGACAATCACCGCGGCATCTCCCTGCTAAACATCGCCGGAAGGTCTTCGCACGAATCCTCCTCAACCGCCTCAATAACCATCTGGAACAGGGCCTTCTGCCGGAAAGCCAATGCGGCTTTCGTCGTCATCGTGGGACCACGGATATGTTCTTCGCCGCCCGCCAACTTCAGGAGAAGTGTCAGGAGATGCGGACCCACCCGTACTCTACCTTCGTGGACCTAACGCAAGCCTTCAACACGGTGAATCGTGAAGGACTGTGGAAGATCATGCAGAAATTCGGCTGTCCGGAGCGATTCACCCAGAT